AAAAAAAAATTTATAGTTAAATTTAAGCGCAGTTAATCTCGACATACGTCACATTGCAATCGGTATAAATTTTGAAATGACGCATATTAATTTGAAATCCAGAGATATTATAGAGCGACATGTGACATATACAGTGGATAGAATATAATGTATCTATCGCAAAATCCCTTTACAATAATCACGTGATCAAGAACTTGACGATTAGGTTGGGTTTTATCTCGTGTATGAAGACACGATTTATTATTTTAATTAATAAATATGAGTTGCGAACTATTGATTTCCAGAGGGAAACCGAGGATATTTATACTAGAGTTTGAACCCAGTTTAATTTTTATATATTAAACCCGATTTTAATTGGTTTTAATATATGAAAAATAAAACCGGTTCCAAACTCTAATAATAACCATCCGATTCCCTTAATTAGTTTTCATTTTTTATTACGTACAAGATACGTATTGGTCATGCAACAATAAATATCATGAAATTTGTTTTTCGGAACAAATGATTTGATTCGATAGAACAAATTTTCTGATATTTATCATCGCATGATCCAATATCGATATTATCGTGCAATTATGATCATGATTTGCAAGTCTGGTTGGCTGAGTTTTAATTCGGGATTGTTGTACTTATGTAATAAAGTACAAAAAAAAATAACAAAAAAACTATGATTATAAAAGTTCGCACAATAATTTTTAAATATTTAAGAGACAAGTACAATTAAGCTTATACAGTTAGACAAGGGCATTCTCAAACGCCTTAATCAATGGGTAAAAAGTTTCGGTGAATAAATTTTGCTTGACGGAAAATATTTTAGATAGGCCATGTGTGTTTGTCATTGTGATGAATATTTAAATAATAATTTGATAAAGTTTAAACGTTAAGTGAGTTTGTCATTTCAATTTACAAACATTTTGCCGCAAACCATCTTTTTTATATGCTTGATTTGTCAAAATTTACAATTAATTGAGTATTCAAAAAATTACTCAAGTAACTTTGTCATCATCAACGAATTATTTTTTTATTCATTACAACAAAGTTTTTATGAACAATAAAAAAAAATACCAAGAATCCCAAAAACAAATACGGATGTTTACCATTTTTTGCCAGCAACAAATTTTACTATTTCGCCAATAATTTCTTTATTTAGTACAACAATTAAATATCAACAAAACCTAAACCTAGTGGAGACGACATTTAATAATTGCAATTTTATTTTTATTGATTATAATAAATGTGCACCGTCACGTTTACTAGATAATCGCATTGAGAATAACGTTTGAGAAAAATTTGGTTACATTATAATTTGCATATTCAATTTGTCATCCAAAATTCTATATAAATATAATTATAGTTGTGCACTATTACGATCACTAGCTAATCACATGTTGAGAACATCACTAAATGCAACCTCTCTAAATGCATAACTTGATTGGGCCAATTATATAATAGGGGGTTTCAAAGTCAAAATGCGGAAATCTAATTTTAACTGAAATTGGTTACAGATTTATTTTCAAATGAGCGATGTATCAAACTTTATTTCATTTTCCGATAAATTTGAAATGATGATTTTTGTTGTTGAAAAGTCTATTTATTTCGTTAAATGGGGATCTCCAGACACTCCCATTCCATTTTCCGATTTTAAAATTTTGAAATACAAATAAGATTTTCAAACTCTCATTAATTTCAAAATGTGCCACTCATTTGTTAACTTTGAAACCCCCTAATACTTATAGATTTTTACCTCTTTAAATGCAAACCTCTCTTTAATACATGATTTTTTATTGGCCCTCTGGCCATACATTTATAGAGGTCTGACTGTACTTATGTATCGGTACTAATATTATTTTACTATAGACTAGTGCCTCGATGATTAGCGGTGCAGAGACTTTTCACTACGTATACATTTCAGATTAAGAATATGGACCATTACGGATTTTATCGGACATTTCGGAAATTTGTATAATGGGCGAAACTAGTATCGTCACTATTTTTTCATATTCGGATTTGGCGAAATATTTCGGTTTCGCCCGCAACATTAACTTTGACATAATCGTTATAATGATATGTAAAAACAACATAAACTTAATTGAATCTGCTGAAAAATCACTCGACTAATTTTATCAGGTATTCCAGAAATTATGATAACAGCTGTAAATTGTCCCAAAAAATAATTGTGAAAACTCGTAATTTACAATTAGTCAAACAGGAAATAATTTCTTGTTATCTGGCACGATTTGATGGATATATGGGTATTGGCAGGATAATAGCAAAAGCACGTGGCCGAAGGCCTCGTGCGTTGCAATTATACTGTCGATGTCCATGATCCGTATATCATGCCAGATAACTAGTTTATCTGGCAGGTATGACGTATACACTTACGGAAAGAATTTTATATTAATTCCGCAGATTTTATATTAAAATTAATAAGAATTTGTCACATGATTTTAATAAAAATTTGCGGAAATAATGTAAAATTTTTTCCGTCAGTGTTTACATAGTACCTGCAGGATAATGTTGATGTAAATTTGTATATGTTTGGTTTATGAATTACATTTATTTAGAAATAATCTTCATGTGACACAGTCCATCAGCTATAAAAAAATGATTAGCTGTGAGTCTTGGATCACATACTATTAATTCTTTATTATTGTTTAATGTATTAAGCATTTTGAGTTTCTCTTAAATCTTCACAAACATGTCAAATAAAGATTTATTTAAAAAATTTGAATTTGGGCAAAAATTCGAATATGCTTCTTTCGAGAACAAGGTAGAAATCAGTGAAGGAAAATTTGGAGCTATATGTAAAGCTTATTTGAAAGATATAAAACAAACTGTTGCTTTGAAGACTTTATATAATTATGACGAAAAGTCATTAGACAATTGGATCAAACAAGTATGTATTATTTTCGTTACAGTTCATATTATTCACGTCACAACTATAATCCTTTATATTTTAACACTACAAATTACAAGGTTAAATACACTATCGAAGTTAATCACAATAATATAATACAATTCTTTGGAATTACTCAAGGCATGTTAATTTTTATAAAATGGATAAACATATGTTCTTAAATATCTAATTATTGAAAATTTTTAAAATTCATAAACTAAGATTCTGAAACAAAAACATGTTATATGGTTCTACAGTACGCAAACAGTGGAGATCTTCGATGTTATTTGAATGATCACTTTTCAAAATTAGATTGGCCGACTAAAATTAGAATGGCAAGTGAAATTTCTAACGGGATTAATTATTTGCATAATGCAAATATTGTTCATCTGAATCTTGTAAGAAACTTTTCTTCATTCCTTTTTATATGATTATTATTTACTTATTATTAACATAACGGACGCATAATACTAATAAAATTTAGCACATATTAGTACATGATGATAAAATGATTGTTACAGATTTTGGTTTATCAGAATCATTTGATAACAGCACAAAATCTGTAACAAATAGAATATATGGAAGATGGCAATATTATGATCCACAATACCTTAAAAATCTGTTCGCGTATAAACAGAAAATGCCTTCAGATATTTATAGTCTTGGTGTTCTTTTTTGGGAACTTTCAAGTGGCATACTTCCTTTTAGAGCTTTGAAACCACATGATGTAATCGAAGGTGCTTGAGAAACTCCAATTGAAAGAACCCCTCTTCGTTTCAAAATGCTTTATTGTGATGCTTGAAAAGATAAACCAGAGAGTCGTCCTGAAATCGAAGAAATTTGTGAAAAGTTAAAGGATATGCGGTTAAATCCAGTATATAAAGATTCGTCTGAAAAAGATACTGTTGGAGAAAAATTCGAATATACATCTTTTGAGAAACTGAAAGAAATCGGTAGAGGGTTTGGAGTTGTATATAAATCTTATTTAAAAGATAAAGAACAAACTGTGGCTTTGAAGACTTTAGGTCATGATGACAGAAAGTTATTTTACAATTTTGTTAAAGAAGTATGTATTATTTGGTTCACAGTACACATGATTCACGTTGTAATCATAGTCTTTTATGTTTTAATACTACAAATTACAAGGTTAAATTCACCAAAGTTAATCACAATAATATAATAAAATTCTTTGGAATTACTCAAGGCATGTTAATTATTATAAAATTGATAAGCGTATATTCTTAATATCTAATCATTGAGAAGTCTCTTAAATTCATAAATTAGATCCTCAGAATGAAACATATTATATGGTTCTTCAGTACGCAAACAATGGAAATCTTCGGTGTTATTTGAATGACCATTTCTTAAAATTAGATTGGTTAGCTAAAATTAGAATGGCAAAAGAAATTTCTAACTGAATTAATTATCTGCATGATGCAAATATTGTTCATCGGAATTTTGTAATAAATATTTCTTCAATCTTTTTTATATGATTATTATTTACTTATTAACATATCACAT